CCCTTTTCCCTCCCATGACGGGCGGCGGCACTGGGCCTGGCGGTTGTAACGGCCTCCCCAAGCATGCTGTATCTGGTCGGGCTGGGCTTGGGAGACGCCAAGGACATCACCGTGAAGGGGCTGGAGGCGGTGAGGCAGTGCCGCAGGGTGTACCTGGAGGCCTACACGTCCATCCTCACGGTGGGCAAGGAAGCGCTGGTAGGTCTGGGCGCTGCTGTCGCGCAGAGCCCTGGCGGCCCTCGAGCCAAGGAGCGAGGAGGGCGCTGGGGCTGGTAGGTCGGTAACGTCAGCAGGAGAAGCTAATGGTGCGTGTTCTCAGAAAAAGTATGTACGTAACCTTCACACGCTGTATTTTATAGGAGAAATCGTTTCGCTACCTTATGAGAAGACTGGAGTGAAAATAAAATTTTCCTTCCTGCAAGCATTGACACTAGTTCTCATCTCAGATTCTAACAACGTACGGAGATCCTGAAATATTGGAGAACTTGGCTAGAAAAATGTCTGATCTGAGAAAAAAATCAAAGGGTGTACCAGAAAAAATACATGTTTTGGTGCCTTGAACCGCTGTATCAGCCTGAGGTATTATGGTGTGCCTGCTGGGAATAGTAATTTGACTGTCTCACATTTCCATGTTTCCTTGTGGGCCAAGCTGTCTCACCGTGTTGAGACTTCTAGAACGTACATAGTTCAGGCAGAGATGGGCTGTTGAACAACACGGAGATAAGCTTTTTATTAGTAAACACACCTTATGGGAGAAGGCAGTAGTAAAAATGTACAAATTATAACTCTGATGTGTTCACTGGTCATAGAAAGATAAAGTTTAATGTTGAAGTAACACCAGAAAAAGAGCTTGCCTACCCATGGAACAGGGATCTCACCTCCGAATAAGCTGTGTAGTACTATACAGAGATGCTATCTGGGTCTTGGATGCTGTATAGCCATAACGTACTTGTATATATGTATGCATACCTGTATGTACATACAGCACGTGAGACTTTTAGCTTGTGGTCAGCATTATGTGGTTTCTAGATACAAGCTAGGCTGGAATATTTGGGCCCATCTGTGGTATATCGTCTGCTCTATTTTGAAATGAAGATATACTCCATGTTTTTCTGGTTTTTTTTCAGTACACTGAAGCAATCTGAATTGAAATTAATCCGTTCAAATCAAAATGTTTTTTTTTTTTGTTCTTGTTGGATAGTTGGAAAATTGCAAAATAGAAATGATTACTTGGATATTTTTACTTCACAAAATCTGCATTTGCTATCAAAAAAAATGATGGATTCCGAGCCAGCTGAAAATAAAACACTGAATCATAGAAAAACACTGAATATTTTTGGCATGGTTATTTTTGGGAGTTTGTTTGTTTTGTTTTTTATTGTTTTAAGTCTTTTGGAAACCTTGAAGTCCCAAAGATGAGGTAATTGGGAAAAATGATCAATAAAAACAAAGTAAAAGATGCTCTCTTACCTGAAACTGCCTAAGAGGCAATATAGGAATTAATCACCAAGTGTTGATAATACAGCCCAGTTTACATACAAGTGACAATGCTGAGTGGTTTATTTAGTAATCTGAAGGTCAGTCTCTCCTAAGCAACATGAAAAGTTATGGGAAAGCTCTCAAGAGATAAAGAACAGATTCTTTCCTGCAGGGATTTTCGAGAAATCCTCCTGTGCCGATGCTTTTAAAATCAGATCTCAAAATTCAAATGACATGATTTGCTTAGGTTATCTTGTTGGCCTGAAACGTATATTAAAAGCTATTTGATGTTGACCATCTAAATCGGCCCTCAGCTTGGTGAAAGAACTGTTTGGACCCAGTGACCTCACAGTGAGTACATTTTAGTTTTTGTCAGGAGAGTGCTTTTTATATATTCTCTAATTAATGTGTTTTGATTTGCGTTGTGGAGCAGTCTCAAAGCATGCAAATAGATTCTGTTAGATGAAAACAAACTGAAAGGTGTGTTTCTGGGAATGCACCTAATATGCTCTATAGTGTGCATTCACTTACAGTACTGGACTAAAGTTAGTCTCATCCTATGGTAAACCCACCAAAACATATGTTAGCATTGTTACCGAGTTCTCCGCACCAAGTGCTTTGCTTTATAGATCAGCTCCTGTTGTGCTGTACTGCTTGCATCTAGTGTAAGATACTTAATAAAAACAAATGGGGTGTCAAAATTTGTTGTAGTTTGTTTAGTATAGACCTCAGCAGTACTCCAGGGTGGCCGTCAACCCTTCTGAATCACAGATACAAGATTTGCTTATACATCTATTTGGTCCCCTTTCTATCGAATCTGTACAGGTTGCAGTCTGTTTCACAAGGAAAATAATATCCTCATTTTACAGAGGTAGAGAAACTTACTCAAAAATGGTGAGGAAGTCATCTTTAGAAAAGGGAACCGAACCCAGTAACAGAGCTCCCATATCTAGTACTCTCGCTATGGGATGGATTTTTTTTTATGGAAGCACTACTCAGCTTCTGTACGAGTACGATGGTTCTCTTGTCAATTCACTATGCTTTGCGGTCAAAGATGAAGCTATCACTGAAGTCACAGGAGAAGCCAGGGGAAAATCTTTCTGGACCATAACTGACTTAATAGTTTTATCAATTTGTTAATATTTGTAATACCACCCAAATTTTCTGAATACTATTTAGAACAAAACCACCTTTTTTGGTCTGTGCCCTGGAAAAAAACCTTTAATCATGTAAAGTGCATGTGAAATGTATGGTGACACGTAACTTAGAGACAGATATGTTCAGGATGGTCAGACAACATGTTCTAGGACTAACAAGTTTCATTACACGTGAGGTTGATTCTGGAAATAAAGGCATTTAAAACATACGAAGAGACACGATGATTACTGAGCTGCTGAAGAAAAGCGAAGGACACGATCAAATAGACATTTACCTGTATACATAGTAAAGTATTTCTTACAGAGAACTGAAGATGAAGGATTAATATGAAATCATTCCTTAGATGTGGTTAGTTACAATCTACTAAGGAAAATCTAAAAAACTAGGTTGTGGTATAGCTAGTGCCATATTTGTATCTGGTTTGATGTCGGTATTATAACTAAGCTAAGCAGTTAGGCTCAGACTTGTGAGAGGGGATGCCTTACAGTAGGATGACTGCTTAATTTAAAGTACACCTAGAGCCCACCCAGGTACCTTCAGTATGCAGGTGTGATTGAGCTACTTTTGTAGCAGCTCCTCAACTGACACAGAAGGCATAAAAACCCAAGGCAGTATCAGAATAATGTGCTTGACTCATTTTTGTCAGCTCGGGAGCTGCTTTATGGGAAGCTCAGGTGTTCTTGCAAGGGGAGGCAGGGTTCTCTAAGACGTGGGTCAGACTGCTGGGGAGAATAATAAAGTTGGCCTTTCCAGTGTCCATCGCCTGTGTTCCTGAGCGAGCACCCAGAGAGATACGAAAACACTCCTAAGTGTCTTATTTTGGTGTTTCTTATTAATTTCAATTTCTAGGAAGAGTTTTATGGAAAAGAATTGATTTTGGCTGACCGAGAAACGGTGGAACAAGAAGCAGATAGCATTTTAAAAGAAGCTGATGTTTGTGATGTCGCATTTCTTGTAGTTGGTGATCCTTTTGGGTAAGACAAAGCAACATTTTAATTATTGCTGTAGCTTGATCACTCTCTTTTTTCAGTAGGAAGGAGCCATACGCCATAACTGTAATTCTTTATGAAGAAGCTGGTTTTCAGACCAGAAGCACTTTTTATGTCTTTGTAAATTTTTTTATTGCATTAAAATACACATGCAATTGTCTACACTTTATCTTGCTTTGGAGTTTCCTTGCCCAGATATCCCTTGCAGATAGGAATGTGGACCCTCCAGGATGTATAAATCTTTCCTTCAGCAGTCACTTATCGTTTCATTCTCCATGCTAGCTTTTATAGAGAATATTTTGTTCCAGGTTTTATCTGCTAACAGAAGAAATTCTAGGATATCATATATTTAAGAAATGTGCTATGTTTTGAAGAGTATTCTTTTAGTTGCTATTTGTACTTACAAACTGCAGCTTTTATGCTCAGTTGGTTTAGAATGAATACTGTTTGTTGGATGTACAGTGCTTCTGCTTTGATATATGCTAGTTTTTAAAATCACTTAGGTCGTTATAAATGTCTTCTCATTTTGGTTTATTAAGCCTTTTGTTTCCACTTTTTATTCCAGCTGAAAAGTGTAGTCTTTTTCTATCACCAGAAGGATCTCCTTCTGTCTTTTCAGTCAGGCATCATCAATCTGTAATGTCAGGCCATACAGAAGAGCTTTTAGTCTCCAGCTGGTGATTCAAGATTTATACCACAATGTTAAGGGGCACAAGAAAAATCAAATCACTGAACACCCCATTTGTGAGTGAAAAAATAGAGAGACTTTATCAAAAAGAGGAGCAGTGTGCACATCTGTCAAAAGCGGATAATTTATGTAAATACAGGTTGAAGGGAATTGGCAAGAGAATATTATATTAAACTAGTACTTATGGGCAGATGATGCTGTATTTCAGAAATACTAATTATACTTTCAATACATGTTAACATTAAAATTAGGATTCATGTAGAGTGTAGAGCCACGTTACCTGTGCTCTTGTGCTCTGATCCAGTGACTGATACAAGTAAGTACACAAGATGAAAAAAAAAACAACCTACATGTATTGAAATGTAATTGCTACTTGTAAGCAGTATCTTGATCTGCCTCAGTCATCATTAGTTTCAGTGTCAAAATACTTCAATTCTGATTAACATACTACATCATTGTTGAAAGCTATGCTTTTTTTTGAATGAGTTGCTTCTTTCTAAATGTTTATGTTCTTAGCTCTTAATACTGCAGCTAGAACTGCTCCTATGCCCACATAGAGCCCTAAGGATTTAGGGGTTCATGAGGTCACTAGGAAAGAGTACTGAATGTTTCTGTCCTAAGAGAAGCCCTATAGGAGGAGGATAGAAGCCATATGACTGCAGCTGATCGTAGAGTTTCAAGTGTATTTGCAGGTAAGAAGAGTACCTGGCAGCCTTAGGAAATCTCAGGCGTTGGTAGTTAATGGTTAAAGTGATAAAACAAGCTGTGTCCCTGTCCTCCTTCTCACTGTTGTTCACTACAAGTTTTTATCTGCCTGTGTGGTAACAGCTATGGATGTGCTAGCAGGAACCTGACAATTTTAGTAGCATACTGGAAAGCCCACCTTCATCTAGCCTGGTGCTAACATTCATATTATTACTACCCATAGAACTTAAAACCTGTATCAGTGACAGAAAATACTCTGTCACCCAGAAAATAGCTCTGGGTGCAGAGGGCTGACTCCACGAAGTCTTTGCTGGTATTAGCTGAGTGCTCATGAGGGCACTTCTGCTTTTAGCTACAGTCATTATGGACAGATCTATTGGGAGAAAATACTGGCTGGAGCAAATTTCAGTGAATAAAGCCAGCTGATCCCTTGGTCAGTATTAGCATAATCACAAAATCCTCCAGTGCTTCTTGTCCTATGTATGTGAACGGAATAATACAGGGCCATAAAACTAGTCCCCTCTTTTCTTAGAGCAGGCATTCTTACATCACCTTTGCTTATGGAAGTCAGGAACATAGTTTGTTTACTAACCAAAGTGTTGTTTTAGATCTCTTTACTGCATTCTTCTAGGTCTGGGAGCCTGTTTCTGTCAGGGTCTCTGATTTCCCAAATTCAGATTCCTCTTTTTTTTTTTTTCCTCCAGTGAAATTGATTTCTTATTTAAATGATTGATCCTTACAGCCTTGCCAGCTGCTGCCACCTTTGTGTTCCAGTCTGAAGCACCTGATCTGCTGATGGGTGCTAGTCAGACATGCAGTGTCAAAATTATCAGACTAAAAATCAGGGGAATTCTGTTAGGGTAACTGAACCAGACCAGGGTGAAAGCGGTCTTCCTATTTAATTAATTCTGACCGGCACATGCTGTTTCTTTCTTCGCTTCCTTCTTTGGAATGGCCACACAGAAATGTGTGGTACGTCTTGGTACGTACTAAGGCCATTGTTCAGGTTTGATAATTTAGGCAAGGGGTAGGTGCATTTTCATATTTCACATGGAAAATGGGAGTGCCTAGCGTTTACATAAGCATACATGTAAGCAAGATACATATGTCAACATTGTTGCAGTTCAAAGATTTTCTGGATCTATATATACTTACCATCTTAGAAGGACTCTAATCCCAGTTGTGTTAACTACAAGCCCAGTAATTCTTGCACCAGTCACCGCAAGGTGTTTGTTGAGCGTTAGACCTGGAGCCAAATTTAGCTCAGTTCTAAGCTTAACTAGAATTTTCTTAATTATTTCAGAACACACTTGATCACTCAAACTTAGGCATTGTTAATTTGAGTAATTTGGCTTAAATATTATAAAAGTTGATTTAGTCTAAGGATGTTTTTCCTAAGTACTGCATGCAGTTTACCTCAGTCTGTTCAAAGTTCTTGTTTGAGTGTGTTGCTTTCCTGGCATGCACTGGTGCAGATGGGAGCAGACCTGGCTGTGCAGCGAGTAAGGAAATATTGGAGTTTCGTTGGAGTCTATGCCAAATGGAGTTGACCTTTACAGTTGAACAGATGTCCGATAGACACCTGCAGAAGACAAAGGATAAATGGAACTTTCCTTTTCAAGTACTTGCCAAAGCTATTTTAAAAAGTAACAATTGTGTTGGTGTTACAGTTTTAATGATGCCAGAAAGCTGCAAAGAACCGTAACATACTGAGGATGCCTGTATTTTCAGCTAGGGAAGATGACATATGGAAGCCTTATTGGAGTTTTTACTTTCCCATAACAATTAGTCAAGTTATTGTTGCCCTTTTGGCACTTCTGCATTGCCCTAGTTGTGAAGGGTTTAATTTTACTTTCAAAGCAAACTATAATGCTAGTAACACTTGGTCACTTTATCTTTTCAATCTTTAATTCCTTTCTTAACACAGGGCCACGACGCACAGTGATTTAGTACTACGTGCAGTAAAATTGGGGATTCCATACAAGGTCATTCATAATGCTTCAATAATGAATGCAGTGGGCTGCTGTGGTTTACAGGTAACATTTTTGTATATATGCTCTTCCACAACTGCTAAACTTAGTGTTGGTGAGCTCTTCTACTGCTGTAGCAGTGCATGTTGCAATCCGAAGTTTGAACATCTGTAGCAACAGTACACTTCTGTTGTCAGAATTTGTTAACACTTCCTTTTCAGCATGCTACACGTCAGCAAAAGTCCCTTTTGATGAGCACATGTGAAAATGAATAGTAACACTTCTATTCTTCTCTGCTCTCTTAACTTCCCTCTGCCCCAGGAGACTTTGATATTTAAGTTATTTTACAGATAAAGTTTTGCTTGTGTTGGCTTCCTTCTACTACTGATGGTCACCTGGTAAGTTTATTCTTAAATTAGGCTGTTATCCTGTTGAGAAGTATGCTGGTCTTGTTGTAAAAGGAATACATGCACAAGCCTGTCTATATGCCCAACTCGGATCATAACGAATTCCGAAATCTTGTATATGATGCATTCTTTCTCTCCGAGGTTGACCTGTCTTCACGTTCTGCCCATCTGCCAAGAGAGGAGGGATTTGCCTAGCCAAGGACTAGAAGAACAAATGACAGTTTTTGTGCTTCTTGAATGGCTAAAGTAGAAAAGGTCTAGTGACCCCCAAGAAAATACTTCACTACTTCCTTTTACACATGTATAGGTCCATTATTACTTTTCCTGCATGACCAATGTTACGGCAGTGTATGTATCGTAACTAATCACATATAAATTAGTTGCAGCTTCCCCCTCTTGTTTTCATTCATTACTTTAACACAGAACCTGCCTTCTCAAGGTTCAGAATGGTTCCCTGTGTATGGGAACTCCTAAACCAAGCTTCCACTTTACCAAAACCAAAAGCAAGCACAGGAATGTAAGTGTACTACAGACACGAGTTGAGGGTTTGGACAGTAAGTTTTCATCACTGAAGGAGGAAGCATTCCTTCCTAGCTTAACATAAAAGAACACCATTTTTTTTTTTAATTTCAACAAACAACTGGGACCTTCAAATTTACACTGACAAACTCCAATAGCCTTATTTCAGTGCTGCCCGGCAGCAGAAAATCCGTTGCAATAAGTTGGGTATTATCTCTGGCTCTGGTTTAGAAATGCGAGAGCCCTGTCTGATCTGGCAGTTCAGCAACACTGCATTGACACCTGTTCTGAGATGTGAATGCTAATGCTAAAGGGAATGCAGCACAGGATTCACATTCTTTATAATTCTTCCCGTGAGCACTTTCTTAGTGATACCTGCCTATTGCTGTAAGACTTGGGCAAAATTATCTTTTAGGAAGGAAATAGGCTCCTTGGTGTCTAAAATCTACACGTACAGCAGACAGATGGCAGCTGTCGCATGACTGCACTTACTGGGGCGGGTAACACAAGAGTTGAGGCTGGGGCTCACCCTTTCCCCTTTTGGCTTCGTGGTGGTGCAAAGTTTGCTTCTGCTGTCAAGCTGTTGACAAGTAGTTTCTACTGCCCGCTGTCTTTTTACAGTTCTTTTACGTTCATTAGGAAGGAAGATGCAAGGCTCATATTCCCAAAGAGAACAGGTGACTAAGTTTTCTGAAAGTTTGCTTCCCCCACAACTCCAGCTAGGCATAGGAATGAGGAGTATAGAGCTTCTAGGTTAATTGAAAAAAAGAGCAGAAAACTAACTGGGAATATATTGCAAACAGTCCATAAGGTTTTTCACATATGCAGAGTTTTGGAGATTAGTTTACTATTTCCTTATCCCATGCTGAAGGGAACAGACCATGAAGGAAATGTGATGTTATTCACTCTGGCGTTAGTCCCCGTTCCCATTCTGGCTTGGGAGGGGCTGCCTTCTTATAAGTCAACATTCCTGTTGTATAAAGCATTTTAGGAAATAGTGATCATATTGTATTACCGGACAGACTATAACCAGCTGTATGTTTAACTCTTCATTGCTCCTTACAGGCATAAACAGCAAATGAGGGGTATCTTACAAAAAAGCAGCCTGTGATTTAATTAGAGTTGTGGTGGAAGTTTATAATTTCTTTCAACAGTCTTTACGTTCATGGCTGTCTCCTGCCATCAATTTAGTTTTGGAGTTATTGTTTCAAATTGCAAAGTTGCTGTCAAGTATAGCAGGGATTCCTCTTTTGCTTCACCACAGAAAAGGCTTGGCTTTTTTTCTTGTTTTAATCTGATTGTGATACAAAACCTCTTTCTTTCTTACTAGAGAAAAACAGGAAACACCTTTATACGCTGTTCTGAAAGCCATGTGCGTAGTGAGCTGTAACTGCTGATTAGGCCCTCAGTAAAATGCAGCTATAGCCCAGTCTGTTCACAAAAGAACATGTCTCTTGTCATCAGAGCAATGTTTCTGTGCAGCCAACAACATTCTGGTAGTTGCGCAGTTTTCCTGAACAGTAGTGAGTTACTGAAATCGACAGAGCATTGGTGATGGTTTGTCACCTTCAATTCATAGATATATTTCTTGCTGAATTGTGAAGAAGGGTGAATACCTGTTTTCAAATACTTTTTTTTTTTTACTGTCTTGCCCATTTAACAGAATCAGTGCAGCTGTTTTGAAGGCTGCACAGGTGAAGATTGTATTTGTACAAAGAATGGGTTTCTTTTTAGTTTTGAAAAATCAAACTCTTTGAACTTCCAGGAAGCTCTCTCAGAGTGATACAACGAGCTATAGCTAGTGAAAGCAGGGGATAGTATAACTTAGCAAAGTATTAGTCTGACTAGGCATAAGGCTCTATGACTTGCTGTGGCTCTGTCGTGGTTTAATCTCAGTCGGCAACAAAGCACCACGCAGCCGCTCGCTCACTCCCCCCCACCCGGTGGGATGGGGGAGAGAATTGGAAGAGCACAAGTGAGAAAAAGTCGTGGGTTGAGATAACAGTTTAATAATTGAAATAAAATGATAATATGATGATAATAATAATAATAATAATACACAAAACAAGTGTTGCTAATCTCAGTGGCAACTAAGCACCACGCAGCCGCTCGCTCACTCCCCCCCACCCGGTGGGGGGAGAGAATTGGAAGAGCACAAGTGAGAAAAAGTCGTGGGTTGAGATAAATAATCAGTCAGTAGAGCATGGAAAACTAAAAAGTCCTTGGCTAGTGTAAGCATTACCTAGCAACAACTAAAACATCGGTGTGTTATCAACTTTGTTCTCATCCTAAATCCAAAACACTGTACCAGCTACTAGGAAGGAAATTAACTCTATCCCTGCCGAAACCAGGACAGGCTCCCCTCTTTTACACGGTTCTTGCTGGCTTCACTGTGTCAGATTTTTTTTTTTTTTTCCAAGGCTGAAGAACATCTTTTCCCTCAAAAACAAATTAATGCGGCCGGGGGGGGAGAAGCCAGGAGAAGTGCCTGTGTGTGAGTGCCTCTTAGCACATTCTCTGCAGGTTCACCTCTCTTGTCTGGAATCTGACGTGTAGGTATGTTGAACACTGACTCCTGTTGTAGTGGGGAACAACCACCAGTGAAGAAAGTCCTGCAGGTTGGTATCTACGCACACTGCCAGGGAAGTCAGGGAGAGGGGACAGAAGTCCCGAGGGGAAGACCGAAATTCTTAAAGAGCACTTCTAGTGGGTGGTAACTAGTGAGACAGTTCAGCTTTCCCCATCAGCAACTGCATTGTAGTTCCATAGCTTTGGAAAGCTTAGTATTTTAGGTAACAGGCTTACCTGTGTTCTACCACTGCTCAGCTACCCTGTGAGCAGGACGTTGCCTTGGCTCTATCCGACTAGGATTCAGCATTGCAAGCTGAGAATAAAGGGAGAGCCTAGCCTGACTTCCATGGCTTTATCTGTACCCACACTCAAGTTTTTCAGAATAGGGCTGATGGCTAAGGCTTTTAGCCCTAGAATAAAGAGGCAGAAAACTCAAGATCTCTAATTTACACCTTTCTCCTTCCTTCCTAAACTCCATGACATCTGGGTTAGTTTGGGAAGGTCCCTGGCCAGAGTCGTGCTCTGAGGACGGAATTCTCTCTGACCCAGTTCTGGTAAATGTATCTTTGAGGTAGCAGTATGGATGGTCAAACACATGAGGAAGACTCTGCATCACACTGACCTGTGATGCACATGAAGGAATGATGCAACTTGAAATGGCTTGAGATAATGGCATTACTGTAAAAAAAAGAGGATTGAGAACTGAAGTGCAAAGCTGGAGGCAAGCCGTGGGATGAGACAAAAGACTAAGATGAGCCTCATTTCTGGGAGAGTGGTGTTGCTAGTTTTGAAAGCTTTTACTTTATATTTGGTAGGGTAGCTAGGGAAAAAACATGTCGTAGCAAAGACCTGCCTTTCTTTTGAGACATACCCACTTTCCACCTGAATAGCTTCAGAACAAACATCTGCATGTCCCCTTGTTTCTTTCAGTGACTCATCTCGATTTTTTTTGTTTTCAGTCCGGTTAATTCTTGTAAGACAATTACAGTTATAAAATAGTTTTGTCTTTTCACTACTAGCTGATCGCTTAAATGCAAAAGCAGTGCTTACTTATTTTTGAGTCTTTACTGAACAGGTGAGTACATTTTCAGTGTTGAGCAGAAAAATATTACTTATAGCTAGGAAGCTGAAGTATAATAGTAATGCTATCATTATTAGCTGGGCTCACAGTCAAATAGAAAACCTGTAGTAGCTGCAGGAGCGGAACCTCTGAGTTCCACCCTCTTTCTGTGCCCTAATCTTCAAAAATACTCTTTGCTCTAATAGGAGGGGCTCTACGCAAAATGGTTTTTATTCACTGACAGTTAAACTGTTTTCCATCACTGGTTGGTTTTCTCACTTACTACCAGCTTCTGAGCCTTTTAGAAGTTGGCATTTGTTTCTCGAACCAATTAAAGGTTAAATCAGTGCTAGTCACACTACTTCATTACTCACAGTTGCTGTTCAACTTAGTGCCATTTGTCACCAGCAAACATGACCCAGAAACATCCATTTAATCAGAATAGATTTTTTTCTCCATTTAGATATCTTCGTTTGAGATTAGTAACCCAAGTCACCAGGGTGGGAAGG